TAAAATTCTTGAAATTTTTTTATTCATATCAAACGTGGGATTATTGTAATGCTTGGCTGCCAAAGATGTTCCATGTGTGTGTGTGAGGTGCTTCATAATCATACCCAGTAAGGGTCCCCCAACTTTATTGTAATTATCGTGCGCTCTTCCCTATATTTAGGGCATGTCCGAGAGTCCTTTCTTCTAATTTTCAACAATTAATTGACCTTTTTTTAACTGCAGAATGGAGCCCACTTTGACAGTAAAACCTGACATTGTAAAAATGAACTATCGAAGAAGCTCATATGTCATGCAAAATGAATTAAATATTAAGGGCAAAAACGTCATTCTATCATAAAATGGTCCAATATTACAGCTACCATGTCAGTTCTCATTGGAAAATGGTGAAAAGCAATAGTCAAAATTTTACTTGGCAACAGTTGAGATTGCAATTTTAAGTACGACTAGACACGCACTTAGTTCATTTGGTTAAAAATAAAATTTTTAATAAATTTTAATAAAAATGATGAAATATGTAATTAAAAAAGTTGATAACAATTGGATCTCATGAAATGAAATAAATTTTGACTTTCACATAAATTTATATCAACCTTTTTCGTGTTAACCAAACAAATGCGCATTTTATAGATTAGAGTCAACTCTAGTTCCACTCACTTATACCTTCCCACTAATTATCGACAATCTTTAAAAAATGCTTATTTTATAGATTAAAGTCTAACTCTAATTCCACTCACTCATACCTTCCCACTAATTATCTACAATCTTTACATGCCTCGTGTTTAACTCTCATTTTCTTAAATTCATTTTTCGTCGAAATTATTCACAGTCACATATTCTTTAAATAAAATAATTTTTATTGTAAATTTTAAGTTTAACTGTACTCATGTAACCCTATAAATTATTACCACCGTATTCCTGATCATTCCCTTTAAATATGGAGTTTCAATTCTCATTATAATATACACGAGTATTTTTATCTGCTCCTTTTTTTTTTCCTCTTTTCATAATATGTTATCAGTACGAAAGTTTAATTCTTTATGTGTAT